ACAAGACTACTTCACCATGCCATCAGGTGGTACTTCTTGTGAACTGAGCGACAGTGAGAGTGAAGAAGAAGCAGGTAAGTGTAATAAAATCCTTTAAAAAAATTATAATAGTAAAAATAATAACACGGCTTGCAGAGTCTCAAGCACATAGTCAAGAGGATGAGGAAGAGGAAGTTGAGGAGGTAGAGTTCGTACATACAGAGGAGCGCGTGCATGAGGTGATGGAGCAAGTGATCTCGGGACAGGCAGACGTGGACATCGAGGAACGGCAGGTGGACATTGACGAGAGGGCGAGTGTAGTGGCCATGACTGAAACAACGTGCGGCTGCAGGAAAGGTCACAAAAATCGCCTCCCGTCCCTCCTCCCAGTTTTCCACTGACCATCTTATGTCAGTGCGAGTGTATTGCTCTGAGCTTACACGCCCCCGTCCTTGCTCCTCCCAGGTATCGCCTCCCGTCTTGCTCCTCCCAGTTCTCCACCGATCATCTTCTGTCAGTGCGAGAGTCTTGCTCTGAGCTCACACGCTCAGAGCTCGACATGGTGGTGATGGGTCAGCTGATGGCTGGAATGGACGACGACACCAGAACCACCCCACACAACAGAAACAGAGAGAGAGACCGACAGAGAACAGCCTACACATTCCACCACCAAGGCAAACAGGTGTGTGAGAAGATGTTTCGCTTCCTCCACAACATCGGAGAGACCTGTTACAAGAACCTCAAGAAGAGCCTACGCTCAAACGGGCTGGCGACACGCACTGAAACATCAAGCGCAGTCCTGCTCACGCCCTCTCTCTGTCCTCCACTGAGTATGTAGTTCGCTTCGTGCTGAACTACGCTGAGAAGCACGCTCTTCTTCTGCCAGGAAGAGTACCAGGATATAGCAGGTCCGACATCAAACTGCTCCCCTCTTCTGTCTCCAAGCGGGCGATCTGGAAGGTCAATCAGACAGCAGCGACGAGCGACTCCATCAGAGATGTGGGCTACTCCACCTTCACAGGTCTATGGCGATCGCTTCTTCCTTCCATCATCCTGATGAAGCCCATGACCGACCTCTGCTGGCAGTGTCAGAAGGCGAGCACAGCCATTCAGCGCTCCGCCAACCTCTCAGAGGAAGAGAAGTCGGAGGCAGTCCGGGCGGCACAGGAGCACCTCCGCATCATCCAGATGGAGCGATCGTTCTACACTGTCTCCTGCGAAGATTGTTCCAGATCGGTAAGGGCCCACTTTCATAACAATGCTTCTTTTTCTCCCCCTCCTCCTTCCAGCCACATCGCAACTCCAACGACATCCGAGTGCATTACAGCTTCGATTATGCACAGCAGGTTTGTCCTAATAAAGCATTCAACTCGTAAGAGATTTATTAGAAAAATAAAGTAAGTGAATTTTTTTAGAGGTTCACTTTCCATCGGACCCGATGCAGCCAGGCCCCAATTACTTCCTTACTCCGAGGAAGTGTTCTGTCTTTGGGGTACACTGTGAGGCAATACCTCGCCAAATCAACTTCCTTACTGATGAGTCTGGCGAGATAGGGAAGGGGGCAAACGCAGTGATCAGTAGGCTGCACTACTTCTTCGATTTTTACGGTCTGGGGGAAACAGACATCTTTCTTCACGCGGACAACTGTACGGGACAAAACAAAAAACAACGCGATGATCGACTACCTGATGTGGAGAGTGATGACAGGACGACACACTAACATTACTTACTCTTTTTTGGTTGTTGGGCACACCAAGTTCAGCCCGGTCTGGTGTTTTGGGCTCTTCAAGCGCCTCTTCAAGCGTACCAAAGTCGACTGCATGGCTGACATCGCTGCTGTCGTAGACTCCTCTGCTGTGTGCAATGTGTCACAACTTGTGCACACCGAGGATACTGAGGTGGTGCCGACGTATGATTGGGCTTCTTTCCTTCTCCCCCACTTTCGGAAGCTCCAGAACATAAAAAAGTACCACCACTTCCGCTTCTCCTCTTCGTCTCCAGGAAACGTGTTCGCCGAGAGCACGCAGACACCGCAGAAACCAAACTGTCTCTCCTTCGGGATGACTGGCACCCTGCTCCAGACAATCTTGCACTTCTCATTACACCGAAGGGCCTGTCATACGAACGACAGTGGTACTTGTACGAGCGAATCCGCCCTTTCTGCTCGGAGGAACATCGAGACACAACCACTCCACATCCGCCCATGCCCAACCCCAAGAGAAGGCGCACACCTGCACCAGAAGAATAGCCTATCTATACCTGCATAACCTACTTACGGATATAACTACTTCACTAATAAAACAATATCGGTGCCACAGCACAGTTTGATCTACTAGCTAGCTACGTGTAGAGCTCGCGCTTGTACGCTTAAAGCCCTCCCTTCTCCCTTTAGCTTACTTACAGTTTCCTTCCAGATGTGGCAGCTTCCGTGGAAGCGACCCACCCACCCTCTTCTCCTTCCACCACGGCAGAAAGACGCGCGAGTGGCCTTGGGAAGGTAGAGAAGACAGCCCTGGCAAAAAAAACTCCGGAAGTTCCAATTGTGGGTGATGGTGTAATGTTGGAACACGGACTTGTTACGAGAATACGGAGGTTCAAATTCGACACCGGAAGTTCAACTTCAGACGCGATTTTCCACGTTAGATGCCGCGGAATGGCACTTGCGTTTGTGCTCATAACTTCGCAACGGAACGGGCTACGCCCCTGAAACAAACGGCAAACTATAGAGCATATATAGGACCTTCGGTCTAGCATACAAACATATTTTGCGGTTTTTGCGTCATAAGGGTCGTTTTCTCAGAGCCTGTCACATATGCGTCTATGGCGGTGAATCCGTTAAGAAAAACTCTGGCTATACCAGATTGTGGAGATTAGGATGATGCAATCTGTTCATTCTTCTTACTGAAAAGCACTAGTGCAAACCCTCGATGATACATATGCCCGGTACCGCTTATTGAAGGGTTGGGCCATGAGTGTCATATGCAGTCGTTTTTTATATTATATTCAGGCTCGCGTTGTTCTGAACCCGTTTGTATAGCTCATAGGCTGCCTGGTAGCCAGTAGTGCAAGAACAGGTGTCGAGAGACAGACAAACACACAGACCAAGTACTGTAACCCTCACTGCGCATGCGCACCCCTTATGGCGCATGAAGCATGTGAAACACTCACGTCTAATCTAAGCTTAGCTACGCTATTAGTAACGACAGGTTTCACACTTTTGCTCTAGGTTCCCTCAAGCCTCAGCTGAGGGCGTTGGCAGCTCACAAGTCCCCCCTACCACCCGTTCCTTCGTCCCTCGCACCTGTCGCGTCTCCGTTGGATTGGCGGGCGTGGGAGCAGGCGTTGCGTTTCCACCCAGACAGGGACCCTAATCACGGCCGGCGTGAGGGAGGGTTTCCGGATCGGGTTCGATTACGGCCGCATTGATCAGTCACAGTCGGCGAGTCGCAATATGGCATCGGCGTATGAGCACCCAGCAGTAGTCTCTGACTATTTAGCGGAGGAGTGTCGCAAGGGTCGGGTCTTGGGGCCCTTCAAGCATACACCCGTGCCGTGTCTGCTCGTGAGCCGCTTCAGCGTCATCCCGAAGCGGGGCCAACCTAACAAATGGCGGCTGATCGTGGACTTGTCCTCGCCGGAGGGTTCCAGCGTTAATGATGCTATTAGTGCCGATGATTGCTCCCTCTCATATATCTCGGTGGATCAGATCGCGGCGTGCGTCCTGGCTCTTGGCCGCGGCTCTCTCCTGGCCAAGAGTGATGTAAAACATAGCGTACCGGCAGGTGCCGGTCCATCCTCAGGACCGTATCCTTCTCGGCATGAGCTGGAAGGGGCATTACTACGTGGACGCGTCGCTCCCGTTCGGTCTGCGATCGGCCCCGTTGATATTCTCTGCCCTGGCGGACGCATTGGAGTGGGTGGTGCGCCAGGCAGGGGTGAAATACATTTTCACTACATCGATGACTTCACGATTCACAATGCGAAGAGGGACTGTTGCAGCAGACTGCACATAACCTCGGCGTCGTTCTCGCGGAGGACAAAACAGAGGGTCCAGCAACCCAGCTGACCATTCTGGGAATCGAGGTGGACTCGGTCGCCATGACTCTCCGCCTTCCCGCGGAGAAGCTGCAGAGGCTCCGGACTCTATTAGCGGAGTGGCAGGGGCGTAAGTCCGGCCTGAGGCGGGAGTTGGAGTCGTTGGTGGGCCAGCTCCAGCACGCCTGCAAAGTCGTGCGTACGGGCAGATGTTTTATGCGCCGGCTGTACGATCTGCTGGCAAACACCCACCACTTCCAGAAGCATTATCGCGTCCGGCTCAACGCCGAGTGCCAAGCGGACGTCAAGTGGTGGGTGTCGTTCGGCATGCACTGGAAGAGGTTTGAGTCCCCCACGCTGGATACTCGAGTGTTTACCGCGTTCTCGTGTTGTTTACGAGATGACAAGACCGTCTTCACGGGAAAAAGTACCTATTTTTATCGTTCTTTATTTCACTCATGCTGAGTTCAGACTGTAATTTTATTATCTCTAGGACTATTTTACACTAAACTGAAGGATGAATGGAAGGCAAAGGTGATAGAAGGAGCGTTTGTTGGATGTATAATAACACGATTATAGGTACCTCTGGGGATCTACTTTCGTGATAGGGCACATAGGTAGCTTGCACTGCTTGCACATGTACATTGTTGTTTTGCGTCCGCGTCCCCATTTTTTGCTGCACACTACACAGTCTGTTTGTGCCTTCTTTCCACATGGTGTAGACGGAAGATGATCTGGGAAGTGGCGTTCTGTAAGTCGGGCCTGGGGAGGAAGTGGACGTTGAATTCGTCCGTGGCTGACTGGCGTGCTCTCTGAGACATCCACTGAGGCTTGAAAGAGCAGCTCCTTTGCAAGCTCGATACGAAACTGCTCATGGGTAAGCTTCTTGCCCGTCGTCACAGATAATGTGTGCATGGCGTGAGCTGTTCAGTTTTCATGATGTATGCATTGACAATTGCCATGTCAATCAAGTGGAAAGCTGCCCGTTTCCACCACTTCACTGTCCTGTGGCTAAAGTCACAGTAGGAAAGGAGCTGGTCGGAACGATCCACTCCACCCATGTACTTGTTGTACTGCTCCACGACAACTGGTTTTCTGAGTTTTTCTTGCCCTCCCACAGCCCGACGTGTGCGGCGAACCTTTGTTGTCATGGAGTTGTCGTGGATGGTGCTGAGCATTGACACTGGCCTTTTGTCCATCCTCTTGAGAGCCATCATTGATTCGTCCACCTGCGCTGAAATGGTATCTCCCATTTGCAAGTGTTGTCTTCATCTCAGGTGGCAGCCCGCGACGATTGACTCAGACAGTTCCACATGCCCCAAATCCAAGGTCACGTAGTTCGGAGAAGAGAGCATGACCACTGTAGTAGTTGTTCGTGTACACATGGTGACCTCTGCCCTCCAGGCCTTTCAGCAATACCACAACAATTGCATGCGCTATCCCAGATCCAACGATTCATCTTTCCCTACGTAAGTGGTGTATAGCTGTCACTATGTATATACCATGTTATTTTGTATTCATGACTTACCGTGTACAGCCTCCAGTTGTATACGTATCCCGTACAGCTGTCAGCTAAGACATAGGCCTTCATGCCCCACTTGGTGGGCTTCTTGGGTAGGTACTGTATGAAAAACAGCCGCCCCTTGAAACCCACCATTGGCTCATTGATCAACAACTCCCTGTGAAGGGTGTAGGAAGCTTGGAAGTTGGCAATGAGGGGATCCAGCAGGGATCGAAGCTTATACAGAGGATCGTGACCGGTTGCTCTTTTGGGATGTAGCAGGAGTTGTCATTGAGATGGAGGAATTTCAGGATCAGGGAAAATCGATCTCTTTTCAGCACCTAAAATATAGAATGCGTCTGTGTGTATGTATTGACTTGAGTGTATTTCAGGTAAAAAGTCAGGGAAAATCAATCTCCTTTCAGGACCTGATGTGCAAGTACAGTTTATATTGACAGTATTCTGCATGTGTTCATTGTTTTTTGAGTGTTATCATATTTTTGTGCCTAGCTTACTTTTGAGCAAGCTAGGCTGGAGTAAGGCCATGTAGTAGACCAGTGATCCTCAATATAGGGAGGTTTACCAGACCCATGACAATGATGAGGGAGAGGAATTTGTGGAGCTCGTCTCTGGTGAATGGTTCCTTGGTCCAACTGTGTACTCTTGATTGAGGTGGGAGATCGTGACTACTGATGTACTGGCAGGCGTACATTTTTGTCTGTTCGACTAACTTGTCGAGGATCCGAAGTGGGATGAGGCTCCCCTACCTCACACTCCTCACCGATGTCGAGGTGTGCAGCATTCATCTCTGTCTCTCGCTGGGACTGTTCATTGTCGTCATCTATGTACCCCTCAAAATCATCATCACTCAATTCTTCATGATCAACATCTTCCATCATCTCAGCAACATCATCATCCAAACTGTAGAGCCTGCCACTGGAGGTTGATGCCATAGTTGCAGCTTGTTTACCATGCTTACGCTAGTAGCGGTTGCAGCGGTTGCAATGGTGGGCATTGCTAGCAGCTGCGCAAGTGCCGCGCGTTTCCGTGCTAGAATAAAGGGGTGTGGCACAATCAATAAATGGGAGGAGCTTCGTTATTTGTCCTACTAGCGTGTTGCCTGCCAAGAGACTTTAGTGGCTGTCCCTGCTGGAGCACAAGGTAGATGAATATCGCGCGACATAAATATATGTAGTACGCGCTGGCTAGATATACAACGCGTGCATAAATATATGAAGTACGCGGTAAGAGGGTTAATAATACCTAGTGCTTGTTACATAAAGTGTAAAACTTACAAGACACTTTGCTCTCCCGGATATTGAAGGTTTCACCACACCACAGTTTATGTGACAATTCACTGAAGAAAATATGCAGAAACAGAGCAAAAAAATAAAAGAATACCAGTAAACATATAGCCCATTTTAGTGATCAATAACGTACCTAAATTGGCCATATGAGCTAATCTTTAAGGTTGAAGCCATAAACTGAAATCTGTGCATCAAAAAGCAATCGCTACACATATGCATGGAAAACCACGCATTATAGTGAGGTCTAGAGCATTCGTAGAGGTGGCAAGTGTGTCGATTTCTACACTCTGCGAGAATTGGAAACGGTCCACAGCCTGACGAGCGGCTCAATTAATGTTCAGCTAGCTTGTACAAAGTGGGAGGTGGTGCAGCCCCAGCCAAATTCTTCCAGCCGCCGTTAACGCAAGGAGAATATCAATGCAGTTTCGCAGGTGGATATCCAAAGTTAAAAATTGCCGAAGCAGAAATGTTTCCTGAAGGCACCAGCGAAGTATGCCTGTGATGCTGGTAAAGAGTTCAAGGTGGGCATGCACCTGTAAATTTGAGCAGAGGGCTGCCGAAGTGTTCACTTGAGCCCCAGAGGTTGTTGGCGTAAACTGTTTATACTTTACTTAAACAGTTTGTTTGCAACCAGTCATGCACACTAGGCCAGGGTGTAGAAGAAGGGACTTGAAGCCTTCCCTTCTCCAACAACAATTCTTTAATTGCATATCTTCAATTGTTTTATCACTTGCATTCTTAGTAATACCCATTTTTGATTTTTATGTCTATGCCAAACAAATCGAGTAGTGGCTCGTAATTTGTTGTATGCGCTATTTATCGCTTTGCCAAGAAATAAAGACAGCAAAGCGCAGGTTCCAAGGACCTACAACAATGGACAGAGCTGCTAGCGCCGCCTTCCTGAAGGAGGTAAGACCTGCGCGAATTTTCGTCTATGGCGGTTAATGGTAGTGCGCGGTATTGTGCAGGTTCAAGGCTGGCACCACATTTTCTGTTGCTGAAGCAGCTGCTGCCAGTTGTATTGCATCTTTGTGTGCGAAGCTATGCTTTGAAGACATAGTACATGGCTGTGTTTTTCATTGTTAACCGTCAAGGGTTTTGCACTTTAGTGCTTTTCATTAGAGGATGTGCTCCTGGATGTACATGTACTTGCATGCGTAGAACTAGCTAGTTGATTCGTGGCAGTCACTGTCGATGTCGGACGGTTCATCTTCGTACTGCCGTTCTTGATGCGCAGTAGCTGTTTCCACTTGCAGATCAGCCTGAGGCCCTAGCGATTCAGTACACAAATGCTTAGCAGGCGGCTCGTATTCAGTGTTCATTCAGAAAATTCTGTATTATGTAAACCTCCACATACAGTTTTTATTATTGGCTTATGAGAGCCAACGGCACACATTGGCCTGCAAAGTGTTAACATGTGGCGCAGCGGGTATCACTTTCGCTACTTATTACCATATTACATACAGTAGCAATCTGAAACAAGTCAAACAAGTGTAAACACATTCCACCAAATGAATGGGTGATGTAGAGAAGCACTACGGTGGAAACAAGAGGTTGCCTCAGCAAGGCTATATATCATACAATCATGCGTAACCCCCCTAACAAAATATCCAGTCTGAGGGGTTACGTATGTATTATTTACGTGATGGGTGCATCCAACACATCCCTACATAGCTTCACAAGGCACAGCTGAATGCATTTGCACATATATATACATTGCCATTTTGAAGCAGCCTTTGTCTTTCCTTCTCTAGGTCGTAATCCAACTGAGTCCTGTGCGGCCTTCAAGGACTTTATATATCTGTCTCTGGTCCGTCAGACACCTCTGAATGAAAGATATAATGGAGTTTTACTGAGGTGGTGTGAGGGATTACTCCTTGGATTGCGTCCAAAAACTCAGAAGAGACGAGCTAGACTCGGCACTGGAGGTGCTACACATGATGTTCGATCAGAGTGAGCCACTTCCCACTAGCACAGAGGGCACCGTGGGAGAGGGGAAATTGGCCGTCAATTTCAAGATGCACCAACATGGGATTTTTTCCCTTCCCTGACACCAGACACTGGATACATAGAGATATACCGAGACCCCAGAATATACATTCAACTGCTGATGTGTTTTTGCCCACATTGCGGATGTGTACCATACTTGTTATCACATAGTCCTACGTGTATAATTAACCCTCGCCTGCACGCATGCGCAGCGAGGGTTATTGCAGTTGGTCTGTCTGTGTGTGTGTGGGTGGGTGTGCGTCTGTCCGTGCGTCTGTCCACCGTTTTTCTCGGTAAACGCGGCAACTCTGAGTGTGAAACGTGGACATATTATCAAGTAGGAGGCATGCATGGTAAAATAAGATTCTGGAGCGGAGAAGGCCAGGGAAGCTGCCTACTTTGATACAGCTCACTCTTGACAGATTAAAAGAATATCATCTCATTGTGTCGATCAAAGGGGGAGAAGACGATAGACTGAAAGTGGAGGGACAGGGCCAAAAATTAGAGTCCTGCTTGCTGAGCTGTCGTGGTAGCTCAGTAAATAGAGCACTCTCTGCCTTGACCAGCGGTTCTTTATTCACATAACAGGTGTGAGTATTACGTCATTCTTATGTCACCTAAGAGGTGACATTTAGAAATTTTCAGCATGGAATTATGTCTTAGATAATTTAGTACTACAGAACTAGCAGTGACGGAGATAGAGAAAAAAGATGATAAAAATTCCCTGCCTGGCAGCCAGCTCAAAATGGTCGAGTGGTTAAGGAATAGAGTAGACCAGCAAGGTGAGAGAAGTCTTCACTCTTTCACAAAGGGCACCTTCAGTGAAGGGGACTTCATCAGGAGAAAGAGTCAGCTTTCAACAGGGTCACTGCTCAGGGTACTGAGAGATGATGTCTTCTCCACTCAAGTCATTAATTTCTCCTGTCCAGCTTTGTTACGACTTGCTTCACCTCCGGTTCATCCTTTTGAAGGGATGGGAATCTGAACAACACACAATACGATGTTTTCTGCGGTTTTGTTACAGGCAGTTCAGCATTGATTGAGAAGTATAGTGGTGCAAGGCTAAAATTGCAGTAAAAATGGACAAGTCAAATAAAGCCTTCATCGACAAGTCCATCAAGGTAAATTCCAACAACCTACATGGAGTGGCTCTAAGACCTATCAGCCATACATGTTCATGCACACTGCAGACTTAATTGCACGATCGATCGAGAGGTTCGCCCACAAGGCGGTGAGTTTAACTAGTTGTTGTGCTAAAGAAAATTCTAGACTGGGTAGGCCCACTTCGCCCACCAAAAACGCAATATGGTGGGTTTGAATACACGCATGGAGTACAGTTTACAAAAATTAAGCCAACAGAATTACAGAACAACACCTTAGGGTGGACCATCATCTACACAGGGTACACTGTACATGCACCTTCCCTTCCATAGCAGCTGTAGAAGCGAAGATGGTGCCAATACAGAAGAAGATAAATGCAGAAAAGAGAGAGAGAGATCTAAGGGACACTGCGTGTAGATATTAGAAAATTGGGACCCATGCAGATATATGATTGTCTTTGACGTATGAGACATAGGCAGTGAAATAAAGTTCCAATGAAGTTGTCCAACTTAGCTGCCGACGCAGCTTCACTAGCTTAAGCTCTGGTAGAGGAGAGTAGGTAGTTATTGTAATGATGTGGTACACCAGCCAGTTAAAAGAAAAAGCCCTTAGGTCAACAACTCAGCTGAGATTTAAAGTGTGGCATATTAAGGCAGTGATACAGAGCCTTCCACATACAAATGCAATCTCCAAAATCGACTACACTTTCTATGATTGTGATAAGTGTCGAAGTCAAGAAGGAAGACATGCTCTTTCTTATAAGCAATGTGGCAATTGACACAG